CTACTACACTGGTATGGCTCGCTGTGGGACTTAGAGCATGTTCAGGACTTTTATGATAATATCTCCCGAGCTTTGCTCTTATAAACTCCAACAGTAATGTGATGGGAAACCCTTTGGCTTCCTTAACAGCCGCATTGATTGATTATGCGATGTTGCTAGTCTTTATGTTGCACCTGTCTCCCGGGAAATGAACTCGTGACCATACCGAAGTCTCCAAATATTGAGCAAGTCAGGGGTTTACATCTTAGATTGTGTCCATGTGTTGATTATAATCGTAAGTCGTATGTGCATATGATGCATCTTTCACCAAGTACATGAGTTACTTCCCGTGAAACTTTGTCACTATGTTTTGCTGTGGATGATAGTAACATATACCCCGTGTTGCCCATGGTATGACATTCTTACATGCATCAGCGATGGAGTCGTGCCGGTCAGAAACTAGGACAAGTGGATACCCATCTGAGAAACATCTACTCAATTTAGTGAAAAACCAATTCCATGAAGCATTACACTAAGAATCCACAACTGCAAAAGCCAAAGGAAATATCTGAAAGTTACCGTCCTGTCCGGCTGCCACTAGCAAAACACCTCCATACTTCCCAGTTAAATGAGTCCCATCCACAACAATCACTCGCTTCAAGTACTGGAAACCAGCTATGGAAGCTCCAAATGAAATAAACAGGTACTTAAATCGATCCATCTCATCGCATACAAGATCCGTGACACTTCCCGGATTAGCTCTCTCAATTTGACGCAAATAAGAAGGCAGCTTCTCATATCCATCTTCTGCTCTTTCTCTCACCAATTGTTGGGCATATATCAAAGCTCTATAAGATGTGGTGTAACTGAGGTTTAGACCAAACATCACCTTCATAGAATCTCTGATATGCTTTGGCACAATTCTATCGATTATGCCAACTCGTTCTACAAACAGAGCCCCAATGTACTTAGATGTACAACGTCTACGATGAGCTGATCGGTCTAACACAGAACAAGTATGATCCTTCAGATACTTTGTCACCCAGAATGTGTTTGCTTTGTTCTTCACACCCGCTCTAAGCATCCAAACGCATCCTTACACAGGACATTTTGCTACAAACAAAACCGTCGTAGACTTGTATACTTTTAAAAAAAAACTCTTCATAACTGCCATCAATCACAACTCAGATAAGAGCTTCTCCTTGCTAGGAAAGCTCTGATTAACAAAGATTTTAGAGGACCAACTAGTATCCAGTCGATCGAAACCACCCCAACGCTCTCTTAAACCCTCAACTTCATCCTCATCTTTAACTTTCCCGTACTCACTGTAATCCACATCTTAGTCATCATACTTTTCTTTCATATTCGGATCAACTTCAACTTCATTTGAACAATCAGCTTCATCCTCATTTTTAACGTTTTCATCCCAATCTTCAGCGTCTTCACCCCAATCTTCTTCAGCATCAGAGCACTTATTCGCATGTCCACCCACATCATCATTTTCATGGTCTACTATCCTACTTGAAACGCAAAGGCGTACACCATGCATCCTACTTAACTCAATCAAGCTCTGAACGTGTCTATCGTTTGTGACATACATAGGTGGAGAATCAGGAGGCATTTGTTGAAGCATCAGAGGTGGTAAGGGATAGGATAAATCCACCTTTGTTTCCTTTTCCAGCATATAATCCTCTTGCACCATTCCAAGAAGCTCACCATGTGTGCAACCATCTCTTAAGAACAACATTCGCCCTCCTTTGCTATTATCCACCTCGAACTGCCACACTGATTCACTCCTCACCCATTCTCCATAAACAGCGGGTATATAAACCATTCTCTGTAAGAAAACAAACCAAAACCACATTAGAAATCAAAATGGAATAATTAGACTTCTCTGAAAGCCGGATGAAGTCTACTAAGTAGATTTCTTGAGTAGACTTCTCGGAGAAGTCTGCGATCAATAAGATAAGTATCATATAAAACAGAAAAACTGATTCGATATACCTATAAATATAAACATGTAAAACTTATGCATAGGTAAGAACACTTACTAACAGAAGCTTAGGATCACAAAAATCTTAAAATTTCGTTACATATTGTATAAAAATGAACTTTAAAAAAAAAAAAAATAGACTTCTCGCAGGTCATTTTTGAAATTGACCAAAAAGTCAAATATTTTTCAATTGCAAAAATCACATGTGAGAAGTTTACTTCCTAAAGTAGACTTCTCGGAGAAGTTTTCTTTCCTTGGAGAAGTCTACTCTATAAAGTCAAAGCTTGGTCAATTGCAAAAATGACCTGCCTCTAAAGAAGTATACTCTAGAAGTCTACTCCATTTTTTTGTTATCAAAGGAAATGGAGTAGACTTCATTTAGACCAAAAGAAGTCTACTTTTTTCATGCGAATTGCAAAACTAACTTGGGCGTTGACTAGTATTCTTTACAGTGGTGAAGAGAAGTCTACTTTCGCAGTCCAGAACTGAAAAACACTAAGATTGACTGAAAAGTTTACTTATCACTCGTCTTTAGCTTCTTTTCCGGTCGAGATCTTCGATTCTAGCCACCATAAAAGAGACACAACCGCAAAAAATGACCAACTCGCCGGAATATAGAAATATATATAAACTTCAACTTTTAATAGTCAAATTATAGAGTTTTTGGGAAGAAAGTATAGAGAAAATGGAAGTATAGAAGCTTAAGAGAAAGATAATTGGTATAAGTCATTTTTATTAAGTCTTTTTGGTTTTTTTAGAGTCCTAGTAGAGTCTTTGCAGGTTATAGCATGTCTGGAGCATAATTGGAGATATTAGAGCTTTTTGGAGCATTGCAAGTTGAAGCCACGAAGAAGAAAGTATGCAAGCTGGTGACGCTCGTCACCCAAAGAGGAAGGGTCGTGGCTGGTTTCATAGAAGAAGGAGCATTATTTGCAGTTTTGGCCAAGAAGTTCCAATATTTGCAAAAACGCCCCAGATCGTGTTTTAGCTTGTATATTAGGTTTTTCAGCCATTCTTGGCAGATATCTTGTATCTTATTCTTTTTGAGAGCTTTAGAGAGAGATTTGTAGCATAGCTTTTGGAGAGACAAATCAGACTCCTTCAGAGCAGATTTCGAACTCCTTTATCTTTACTTCTTATTTATTTTATGCAATATATTCTTTTCATGATGTTTTCTCAAATCACCATGTCTGGGTAGTTTGTTAGTTAAGTTAGGGCTTTTCAAAGGTTGAAGAAGAGTTTGTAGAATTGCTAAACTTATAGGAAATTCATTGGTTCTTCATCTGTGCTTGCATTCATATTGATTTCTTAGACACATCATCTGGATTTCGAAACCCTAGGTTGTTTGATAGATGTGAGAGCATTATTAATCACCTGAACTAGTATTAGATGACCAAAACACCTATTTGCAAAGAGATTTGGCTTAGGAGTTTTGTGAACAATTGCACCTGATCATTACTGCATGTTTAGATTGTTAGAGTTTGCAAGGAGATTTGAAACTCTGTGATTTAGACATAGATAACTTCTGCAATGAGAATTGATTAGTTATATCTTTGTGATTCATGTTTAAGACGGTTTTAATTCATTCTTGATTGCATGCATTCTACACTCTGGGATTCAACCTGCGAATTGTCCTGACTTAGCGCCTTTAGCTTTCTGAAGTTTAAGAACAGTCTCAAAAACGCCCACTTGCTTTTATTACTTTAGTTATTTCGCATTACATTCATTACTAATCGCTTAGCTTAATCTGAATCTATAATCGCTAGTATAGTTTACATACTCCCTTGGATTCGATAACCTCTTGTACTACAACTGCATTGTTGTGCACTTGCAGTAGTTTTTATTTGGCTAAAACCTGAGCCTTATCAATAATGAGCTATCTAAGCTCAAAAATGGTTTTTTGGTGCCAATTTAAGCTCGAAATTGGTTGAAAACTGTGGTTGAGTGAATTGATGATGATAGCATTTTCATAAATAAGTGAAGAAGATGAAGATTATTTGGTCAATTGGATATCCAAAAATAAAAGAAATTAATTTGAAGTAATGGCAATATCGTAAATAATTGGAACTGAGAAAGATTGTTTGGACACAAAATGGCTAATGTTGAGAGGATGAATTTTGTGGGTTAGATTTGCATTTCAACTCAAATTTTGGATCATTTTTGCAAGAATCTCATAATAAAAAGATAAAAAAATTTATATATAATAATATTTATATTGAAAAGACATAACTATAAATTTAAAAAGACATAGCTTATGATCGTGAAAGTGGCATTTATTTAGATTACTAAACGGTTAAGAAACAAAATATAATAAAAATACGCAACTCATCTGAATGTTCTGAGATGCCCCCACGATCAGTATCAGATTCGATAGTGATTCTTCATTAGCATTGTTGGAAAACAATTATATGTTAAATTATCTATTATTTTTTAATATTATTTATAGAAAACCATCTAGATAAAATATATTTATATGATAAATTATTATAGCAAAAAAGTAAAAATCAGACCCAAATAACTTTTTTATGTAGTTTTAAGCAATATAAATAATTTTGAAAAGATACGAATTACAGTTGTGATGAAAAAATGCAATCATTTATAATGAAGGAACGCAACTATTTATAATGAAAAGATACAACCACTTATAATGAAAAGATGCAACTATAAATTTTAAAAGGGTACAACTTATCAAAGAGTAAGTGGTATTTATTCAGATTGTTATTATAGATAGATAAAAACTCCATAATAGAAAAAGGAATATTCTCAAATAAATGAAAAAAACCAAAAAAAAAGTAGTAGTAAACATAAAATTTGAAAAGAATATTCCTTTTCAGACATGAAGACAAAGGTCGACCTTGTCGATGAAGTCCTCGTGATAAGTATACATAATATAAAGGGAAAGCGCCGACTGACAATCTGAACAAAGTAAGTATGCCAATCTATGAGTGTGCGGGTCATATGAACAGATATAGATGCCAGAAAGACAAAACAACCATCCGAGGAAGAGCGTGATCAAAGTATATCTCATCTACATCCTAAGCTTATCTGATAGTTGGATCAGCCATATCCCTCCCGTGAACAAAGAGATGGTGAATAACGACAGGGGCAACACATACACATTCTCCATCAACAATTTATAGATCAACAACTGCGGTGTCATGACTACATTCAAGGAAAAATTCAAGACACAAATCTGAAGGAACACTTCTTCTGGTGTTGTCAAGACCTTGTAGCAAGGAGAAGGAGTATCGCTGAAGAAGAGATATCTGAGTAGTGTCACTGCATAGAATGTTGTGGCAGTCACCGCACCGTCCCTGAGAAACCGAGATGATGACGACGATGATTTTCCTCCAGGTGGCCAGACAAGATTGAGTGATATGTAGAGGCCAAAGATCGAGAGCAGAGTCATTACATACCATATTCCTCTACATACAATCACATCTTTTGTACTCATCACCTTCTCCATTCTCTAAGGTTCCTCTTTTTTTGCTTTCTTTTTTATCTACCTTGATTTGAGATGATGAATAATAACAAATTAGGGGACTAACTCTCTCTCTATTTATAAGTCTCCTAGTGGAGGCTATATAACCCTCCTTATGTGAATTGGAAAAGCAATCCCTTCAGAACACAGGAAATCCAAAACAAAATACAAACTAAATCCTAATGGTAGTAGACTTGTGCTGCATCAATTCTCCATCTCCTCTTCTTTTGAACATTTAATAAAGTTGATCAAGTAGCTAGTATAAATATTTGGATTTTTTTTAAACAATTTTTGTTTTACGTACAATGATTTTCGGTAATCTAACTATCAAAAGAAATAAGGGGTGTAAAAAAAATCTGTGAACGAAAAAATTGATATGCTTTGGTATGGATTTATGGTTAAATTTAAAAATCTATTTTGTTATCATTTATTTCTAGTTTTGATTTAAGTTTGGTTTGATTAAAATCCGTTAAACTAAAATGGTTTTTTAGTCTTAGAACTAAATTTTAAATAATTTAAATTTTCCTATTTTCTTAATTTTTTTAGGTCCATATTTTATTATTAGGCTTTATTATCTTTATAATTTACTAACTTAACTCATAAATTTAAAATATAATCTATCTTATCTTATTATATAAAATAGGATCCGTTAAAGTTAGTAATTCACATGATTGTGACATGTTGCGAGTCAATCGATCAGATTTTGACATGTGTCGCGATTAAATTAAAAAATATATATATATAATGATATATTTTAGTTTAGAAAAGAAAAATAACTTAAAACACGAATCCTAAAATAAAAGGAAAATACAATTTAAGAAAAGATTCTAAATTTTTATGAATTATGATTTGTTCATTATTCCAAATTTTTGTTCTTCAAAATTCGTTTGCTGAATATTGTATACATCTTAAGTGTTTTCAGTATTAAATAATTAGACAATTCCAAAATAATTACATTATAAAATTTGCAAACAGTATTATACGAAAATAAAATTATAGATGCTAAAGATGAGTGAGAAGGAGGATTAACAAAAATCATGTAAAAAAGCTTTTGACAAAAGTTTTGAGAAACATGACTTCTCTAGAAAGCAAAGAAATCATATACATGAGATGCATGTGGAGAGAAAGAGAAACTTTGTTTGCTTGGAAAGAGTTAATTGGGAGAGAGTTAATATAATTGAAGAACTCGAATTGCATACACAAATTTTTAATGGAGAAAAGCAGTTGATAAAATCTTACTAAACTATAAGTAAACTAAGATTAATATTGATAAAGACTCGCAATAGATTATATGTTTTAAATATTTTAATTAAAACAAACAAAAATTAAAATAAACAACTATTATATTTTGATTTTCTGTTTTTAATATTTTTTTATCAATGATCTGAATTTATTTTCTATGTTTTTCAAATTATTTTAATGAATTTAAAATTTTGTTATTATAATCCCGCATATATGCGGGTCCTAATTTAGCTATATAATAAAATAAAATGCGTCAAAGTTAGTAATTCACTTGATTGCGACACGTGGTGATTTAAAGTGATTAGATTTTGACATGTGTTGTATTCATGAAGCTGATATACGAACTGAGAAAGTGTGAGCTATGCACTGGTTGACAAAAACAAACAGTAATACCCGAATAAATGTTAAAGATTGGTCGACCAGTGTCAAGGGACAAGTTCACAATGAACCCTCTTCTTCTGATGTTGTACAAAAGATAAATCATAATCAATAATGGTCAAATACATTCTTGAAGGTCTATTCTCGTAAAAGTTTTGAGTTGTCAGTTCTTGAGATCTGCCAGGGTTGAAAGCAGGAATATGTGAGGGATAAAGGTTTGATAGTGTGAAAGATCATCCGCTGAATCTTGGGGACCTTATTTTTACTGTCGTTGGTCCTGAGATCGTTTATGTTACAGGTTCTGAATCATCATGATGATGTCCTTTTTTGAATCACACACATGAAAAGGGTACATGTGGATCTCAGTATAGATTAATTTCTTTTTGGATCCCTTCTAAGTAAGATTTGCATCTAATGTATGTCCCGACTGTGGTGTTTCTTTGCTTGAGTTTAACACTCTCACTGTCTGAAGGAATTGGTGATTGATTTCATATTGACCAATCTGGCCTGTGTGAGTTGGGCACTACATGGCCTGGTTTCTTCGTCTTCTTGTAGTCAAGCCCATCTTGGTTGGCCCATTTCCTCGTGACTCTTGGAGTGAAGAGGTGTATTTAGGGCGTGAGATTGGGAGCGTGAACAGTCACTGCTCTTTTCCCAACCGCTAAAATTCTCCTAGGGTTTCAAGGCAATCCTTGTGACGATGAAGGCCATCTTTCCCGGTTTTTCCAGGCTTGTGGAAACTCCAACAGTTCAGCCAATCGTTCCTGATGAAACCGCTCCTGGCAATATGCTGATTCTGATGCTCTGGTGATTGTATCGTTTTTTGCCACAAGCACAGCAGTGCCTAAACTAATCTCGCCAGTTGACTCGCTCCCTCAAATGTCACATCACTCCTCGATTCCATGTGCATCTGCAACCCGATCACCGGCTCGGAGTTGTTCTCCATCTGTTGAATTTTTCTCTTCAACTTCTAGACGTTCTCCTGTCTCTCGTGTTCAAGGAACCCGCTGTAGCAAGCAACATGTCAAAACAAAACATTTTCCGGTTGAACAGCCTCCTTGGAAGAAGAGTCGATCCAAATCCTTCTTGACTGAGGTCTTTGATGTGAATCAATTTGTATCCCGTGGGGCTAGTGAACGATTCAATCTTTTTCACAATCGCAATTTCCTGGCTGAACAAGAGGTTGAACTGAAGTATTTGCCTACTGGGGTTGAAGACTGTGTGCGTGAGGTTGGCTTGATCCCTAATATCACTGGAATCTGCCATTTTCAGCCAACAATTCTTCGGAAATTCTGTGGTCATCTCCCGAATGAGAAAATCTTATCTGCTGAGGTACGCATGGTTCTGCGAGGCAAGGAATACATGTTCTCACCCCAAATCATCAACCAGCTGTTTTGTCTTGAACTCATGGCAACTGCAAGTGCTGCAATTGAAGGTGATCTTCTCTCTGATGATAAGCTCTTTCTGTTTATGAGCAGTGGTACTGTGATGTAAGACTCAGATGAGCTTATATGAGCCGGATGGTGATGGTGAGTACAAGCTGGCGGTCGCTCTCTCTTGTGCTCGTATGATGGTCGTTGGTGAAGATCTAACACGCTGGCAGTCGCTCTCTCGTGTGGGATCAAAGTAAAGGGGGTTTGTTTGCGGAACGAGGTGTACCACAGAGTAGTGATGAGACTCTGATACAACACAGACTTAATCTCAAGAGAATCCACTCAAGAAATCAAGCAAAGGATGAGAGAAGCTCTCTAGAACTCTTTGAAGAAGTTCAGCGATTTTATTGATAATCAACGATAACCAATATTACACGGCTGCAATGGGACCTTATAAATGGTCATATGAGCTAGCCCTAAGGCCGAAAGTAAAACGCAAAAAGAAACAAAGCAAACGAAACAAAACTAGCTAAAACATACAAAGCAAAGAAACTATAAAAGGAAAGTTCACTTAATCTACAAAGAAAGAAAATAACTAAGCCGCTTCTTCTTGACTCTAGCTGGGACTCGTATGTGGGTGCTCTTGAAGCTTGTTGGAACCGCTGGGATGTGTCACTCAACCTGCATGATGTTATAAATTGAAAGTACCTTAGTGAAGTGGGCGTGGTCACGGTTGATGGTGATGATGTTTGCTTCAGGTACGGGGCCGTTCTTAAGCTCTTGTTGCATTCTTCTTGTGAAGTCTGATGAGTCTTGAACCGTAGCTTGCTTGCTGTCCTTTAACGAATCATCACATCTCTCTTTTATCTCTTGATATGGTGCGGTCTTGGTGTATAAGTGGTTCCTTTACCGTGTTTGCTCATGCATGGTTAGCTTGTGATTAAATACGTAGAAGGGGATCCGTGATGTTACCTTGGCGAGGCGAAGTGATGGTGAGGCGGTTAAACCCATTTATGATATCGTCATGTGTGGTATGGTCAGTACGACCCGCGGTACGACTCTCCGTACCATCATTACGGCCCGTGGTACGACCCGTCGTACCATCATTACACTCGTCATGTACCGTTCCAATCGAGAGGAGTTCTTCTAACCCAAGTGTTTGTATGATACTTTCTACGGCCAAGTTGAACCTTTTTCTAAGTTGTTTCGTCCTTGAACGTGTCATAGGGGCCTCATGAACCTCGGGTACTTGGCTAATGTCATCATTTGGATCGATGTCCTCATCATTCCCTCCCTCTTCCGGAGGTTTTGACCTCAAAACTGAGTCACCTGCATCATAAACAGAAAAATCAGCAACATTAAACGTGTGAGAAATGTTGTACTCACCTGGTAGCTCCAAATGGTAAGCATTGTCATTGATCTTAGAGAAGACTTTAAACAGGCCATCACCTCTTGGTGAGAGCTTAGAAGCTCGCTTGTGTGGGAACCGCTCGGTCCGCATGTGTAGCCACACCCAATCTCTGGGCTCAAAGGTCAGTTGCTTCCTCCCTTTATCTGCTCTCTTCTTATACTCTTCCGTCTTCTTCTCTATGCTCTCCTTTGCCTTAAGATGAAGCTTCTTGATGATTTCTCCTCGGTTTAGACCATCTAAGCTAGCTTGCTTCGTTTGGGGAATGGGTACTAGATCCACTGGTGACAAAGGATTAACTCCATAGATAACTTCAAAAGGGGACAGCTTTGAAGCAGAGTGAATAGCACGGTTATATGCAAATTTAATAAATGGAATGCAATCTAACCAAGTTTTCATGTTTCTACCAAGCGTTGCTCTAAGTAAAGTAGATAAGATACGGTTTACCACTTTGGTTTGGTCATTCGTTTGAGGGTGACAAGTGGTGGAGAACAACAGTTTGGTACCTAACTTCCTCCACAAGGTTCACCAAAAATGGCGAAGGAACTTGGTGTCACGGTCAGATACAATGGTGCGGGGAATGC